ATTTAATATCTTTACTACATAAAACTAAATAAATAGTAATACAAACTGGGGTATTTCTTGACATTTTAATAAATAAATATTTAAGAACAAGAATTGAATACCCGGTCCTAAATGCGAAATACATATTTGACTTAATAAATTGTTGACGATAAGGTAACTGCTTATCTTAATGAAGGGGTTCCCGACTTGCAGCTTGTGGTATTTTCAAAACCATGCCCATAACGTAGTTAGAACAATCTTGCCGAGTAAGCTTTTGAATACTTCGCTCGATTACATCAACCATGTTATGTTCCATTGAAACGTCACACAGCTCAGCTCTTGCACATAATTTTATTTTTGAAAATGCATTTTCGATTGGATTTAGCATTGGAGAATAAGGCGGTTAGAATTTAAGGTTGCATCTTTTGGATTCGATCAAATTTTTTATGTCATGTCGCTTGTGTATTTGAGCGTTATTTTCCAACTCTGGATTGATTTTCTCAAAAAAAAAAAAAAAAAAATCTATAAATAATTTAAATCTGTCTGTATTGACACTGGAATTAGAAACGATTGTGTGATGTACAACTCCCGCGTTGTTTATTGCTGCAATTATAGTGACATTACGACCTCTGACCGTAGGCAACACAATGTGTGCTCTTGTTCCTTGTCTTGAACGGGCTTGGGTTCTTCGTATGTGAAGATTAAATCCACACTCATCAATGAATATAAATTTTTCTCCTTGTTGGGGTATCCATTTTGTAAAGTCTTGAGCATATTTTTGTCTCAAGCCTAATGTTCTGGAGTCATTCTTTCGTTCTATTTGAATAGAGGCCATCTTAAACGTAATTTTTAATTTCCGTAATGGTGTCAACAACTTAGTTCTATTTCCTCCACTCTTATTTTCCTTCAATGTTCCAAAATTTTGTTTGTAATTACTTCACATTGTCGAGAGTTTACTGTTTTGGATGTTCACATTATCGAGAGTTCACTGTATTTAAAAATAGCAACGTTTAAAATAAATGCGAACCTGATTTTAGCTCGGGAAGCTCTGATAATTGGGAACCTGAGGAAAAATCAATATCCTCGCCAAGTATTGCAAGTGGAAATGCTCCAGAACCTACTGAAGCTACATCTACAAGACCCCGAAACAAATTGGGTCAGTATAACAAAATAACAAAAGACATGAAATTGTTATTATTTAAATTCTATGAAGAGGGGAGAATTTAACCTGCATAAACATAAATTCCGAAAAAACATTTATAAGAAGATACAAACAAAATTTTGGAACATTGAAGGAAAATAAGAGTGGAGGAAATAGAACTAAGTTGTTGACACCACAAGTTTTAAGTCTGATCGAGTTCTATATAGAAAGTCAACCTGGAATTACGCTCAAAGCCATAAAAACTAAACTGTTGAGAGAAAATGATATAAATATTTCCACAAGCTGCATAGAATATGGATTACGGAAATTAAAAATTACGTTTAAGATGGCCTCTATTCAAATAGAACGAAAGAATGACTCCAGAACATTAGGCTTGAGACAAAAATATGCTCAAGACTTTACAAAATGGATACCCCAACAAGGAGAAAAATTTATATTCATTGATGAGTGTGGATTTAATCTTCACATACGAAGAACCCAAGCCCGTTCAAGACAAGGAACAAGAGCACACATTGTGTTGCCTACGGTCAGAGGTCGTAATGTCACTATAATTGCAGCAATAAACAACGCGGGAGTTGTACATCACACAATCGTTTCTAATTCCAGTGTCAATACAGACAGATTTAAATTATTTATAGATTTTTTTTTTTTTGAGAAAATCAATCCAGAGTTGGAAAATAACGCTCAAATACACAAGCGACATGACATAAAAAATTTGATCGAATCCAAAAGATGCAACCTTAAATTCTAACCGCCTTATTCTCCAATGCTAAATCCAATCGAAAATGCATTTTCAAAAATAAAATTATGTGCAAGAGCTGAGCTGTGTGACGTTTCAATGGAACATAACATGGTTGATGTAATCGAGCGAAGTATTCAAAAGCTTACTCGGCAAGATTGTTCTAACTACGTTATGGGCATGGTTTTGAAAATACCACAAGCTGCAAGTCGGGAACCCCTTCATTAAGATAAGCAGTTACCTTATCGTCAACAATTTATTAAGTCAAATATGTATTTCGCATTTAGGACCGGGTATTCAATTCTTGTTCTTAAATATTTATTTATTAAAATGTCAAGAAATACCCCAGTTTGTATTACTATTTACAGTAAAATCCCGATAATTCGTAATGTCAAGGGACCGACGGTTTTATACGAATTAACGAGGTTTTCGAATTAGCGGGGTTTCGAATTAGCGGTAGGAAGCAAGAAAAAATACGAATTAACGAGGTTTTTATTCAATCGTGAGTTTACATAAGTATTTAGGTACGTAAACCATGCGAGAAGTCAATCCTTAAGCTCCACGAATTCGCCTCCTTTTTTGCGAGACTCGCTACATACATTTTTTCACTCATTAATGATGTCGAGCTTTGTGCGAATAGATAGCGCCTAGTAGTGTTATCGTTTTGTGACATTTGAATTAAATTAACTGAGCTGCAGAAAAATGTGAATGTCCCGATCGATCAACCTTAAAATAATAAAAGTTAGAGAAAGGCACACGCAAAAACAAATGTATTGCCACTTCAGAGCAGAGAATCACTAGTCAATGGTTTCCCGTTAATGTCGCACTATGAGCTCAAAAAACTGGGTTTCCTACAAAGAATGCGGCGCCCGCTACTTTAAAATGCACGAACGAAGAGAAAGAGATAAATAAACCAATTTAAGTTTACGAATTATCGAGGTTTACGAAGACAAATTACGAATTATAACAGGTATTTAGGCATTTCGTTGGAAAAAAATTTACGAATTATCGAGGGGACCGAAATGTATGGGATTTTTACGAATTATCGCGGTTTTTCCAAGGGACCGGCATTTTGTTACGAATAAGCGGGGTTTACGAATTAACGGGGTTACGAATTATCGGGATTTTACTGTATTTAGTTTTATGTAGTAAAGATATTGTTACGTTCCTGGATTTTACTAAATCCCGTGTAGACGTTGTTTTATTTCCCGATACAATTCGTACCAAATAAAACGCGGGTTCGTTCTGATTACGATTATTACAATGATTTTATTCACACAACTTTACTTTGCACCTTACTTTACACGACGGTTTCAATTCGCGATCTGGTTCACAACTGACTCACTGCCTTTCCATTCCCTCTATTTATATGAGCCCTGCCTGTCGCTACAGAAGTTTCTAGACGATCTGGTAACACCTAGATCACGAACAATCTACCAATGCAACAAACACATTGAGTAACAATAACAACAACAAACTTACTGAGTGAACAATAACAACAACAAACTCGAGTAAACAAACTTACAATAACAACAACACATATACAGGCGAGGGAATAACAAAGAAAGAGGAATGACGTTTAACAAGAATTGTACGACAATAACAAAATAGAAACTGAAAGAGGAAATGGAAGGATGTAGAAAAATCTATACAGTGGTTGTTGTTGTGAAGTTATTCAAATAAACTGCGTAGTAGAAATTTACGTTACAATTCAAATTCTTAAATTAACGGAATTCATCTAAATTAACTTAAATCTAAAGTTATATTCGTAACAATATTAAATGAAATCACACCGAATTAAAGAATATTTATGTTAATTACATAGCCATACAACTATATTTGTTAATATTCTTTGATTTAATTTTCAAATATTGGTTTAAAATAAGTGCAAATATTATATTTCCTTAGATAAGAATAAAGGTTTCATTTAATTTGGAAAAAGTTTCATTCTATTTTTAAAAGGTTTCATTTCAATTGAAAAGGTTTCATTCTATTTGTAAAAGGTTTCATTTCAAGTGGAAAAGGTTTCATTTAATTTGGAAAAGGTTTCATTTAATTTGGAAAAGGGTTCATTTAATTTGGAAAAGGGTTCATTTAATTTGTAAAAGGTTTCATTTAATGTGGAAATGCTATAAATTTGCCTCTCAAATTTCGGTTTTTTGGAAACGTTTTGTCAACCGAATTGGCTCAAATTTGATATTTAGGGTTCTCCTTGGTAGCAAATCTTACCGGATTTCTCTTGATCAAGCAACGAGAAATCAACTTGACCATGTTGTGATAGAAGGAAGGCATTCGTTAAGTGTTTATATGAACTTCTTAATTAATTTTCGACCGAAATTTGTTTGCCTGAAATAGCGCTATTGTTTTGAAAAACATTTCGGGGATATGAAGACGTATTCGACCAATAGATTATCGAAATGTTCGATAAGAAATACAAACCATGGTCCAATAATAAGGTCGTTCGATGATTTCATTCGAGATGTCAAAATGTTTTCAATTTTGACTTAATCGTATGAAAACATAAACAAAAAATTTGACAGTTTGGAGATTTTTAATCGAAAATTGCCGATAACGATTGCTTCTTACACGACCTAGATTTGTTTGGCTCAACTTTTGCTTGTTTGGCCACCTGAACATTCAAGCACGTCATTCATCATCAACAATGAGGATTTATTTGGCATTTATGTTCTGAAATCAACGGGATTAACTAAATCCAGTACTATGTAAACCTACTGTTACTCCATTATGACGTATTAAATTGGTCTGTTCCCGTACTGCAAGAAGCTACTACTTTTTACTGCGATAACGAATTTGCCTTTATGCTATCGAAGAAAATAGTAAAACCGAGGAGATTCTTGCAGTACGGGAACAGACCAAATGTAATAAAGACATTGAGGTCGTTATTACATACTATATTTGTCATCGATCACAGTTCGATTACCAATTGGCCGAAAAACGGCCTACATAACCCTAGATGCCATTTGAAATTCAATTCAAAACAATAGCGCTATTTCATTCAAAGGAGTCTTTGGAATTTGGAAGGAATAAATATTTTGAATTATAGCAATTATTGTAATTATTTAATTTAAATGTTTTATATGTGTTATATTGAAAAGCAATATGCAAAATAATTTTGAAAATGAATTACGAGGCAGTGAAAATGATGCCCTAGCTGCACAACAACAAATTCGAAAGTACTTCAAACGCTACGGAGAATCCAGCCATCAGGATGCAACGAAACACCAGCTTATGTTTGCCTGTTGTATCCTCAGTGGTATAGCTAAATGTGAATTAAAATATCCGCAGATATATTGTGAAATTATAACAGAGATCTTTGGGGATAATCTGAAACCGGAATGCAGTGATAAATATTGGTCGGCATATGTGAATAATTTACGCTACTTCCATTATCATTTGGTTGCTAAGGTGAGGATGGAGGACAATCTTAACTAAATTCGATTTATTATAATTTATTATAATTTTTTTTTCAGAAACATTGTGAGTATGCCTCTAAAATCTATTACTACATCTGTGATCTGCCGCCGAGTAAACTACAAACGGAAGATCTCTGTTTGGCCTTTGTTTCTATGTATTGTAATCAAATGTTCCTGCAAAATGGTCACACAGAACTGAATCACATTGTGGAAAATCTTCAGGTTCTGTTTGAACAAATGTTAGATAGAAACAAAGAATTTAATTTGCAAATTAAGGATGTGCTACAAAAGTGCCTGCAGTGTCTGTTTCCAACGGGATATACAAAAATGCAAAAATTATTTAGTTCTGTAGCGACGGAAAAGGTTGCTCGCATGTTTGCCGCTTTGTTTCGGCTGCAAAGCCAACAACGTCTGCCTCAACCAACAAAAGAGGAAACGCAACAAAAAGCCCACTTTATAATTGAAACATTGAATAATTTCATTGTCTTCGATACAATTGATAATTTTCAAACACAATTGTCTGTACTACTCTTGAAATATTGCACTGTGGATAGCAATTTAAAATCAGACAAAGTCATAGCCGAATTATTTGGACAACTTTATGAATATTTGAAAATAATATGCAGCACCCAAAGACCCAACGAAGGATTTGTAGATGCCATTACAAAATGTTGTGATGGCTTTAAATCTCGATTTGAGATATATTCCAAAAATGCCATGAATCAATTGTGGTTCAAAGACTTATTGGTCTTCATAAGTACCTTGCATACTCAGATGCAAAATACATCGATATTCGGTGGTTTTTGGAAACAAATGAAACATATCGAATCGTATCAGGCTCTCTTAATGTTTCTATTGGAAACAATGAAATTGGCACCTTGTATTGTAGCTGAAACAAAATTAAATAATATCCGCTGTTGTTCCAGTTTTCGTAAACATATCATTTTAACATTTGCCAATGCTGCCTTATCGACGTTTGTTTTATATTGTCAAAATTGTAAAAATGAACCCAAAGAGGAGGATGCTGTCTGTGTGGTGGATGATGATTTGGGGGGAGAGGATAGTAATATGAAGGTAAGTTTAATCTTCGGAATACATTTTTTTTTAATCCACGACTTGAAAAAGTTATTTTTTTAATCCACGCCATATTTTTTTCTGTTACATTTGATATAATTTTCTCTTTTATTTTCATTTCTTCCAGGACACCTATACGGAATTGTTACAAAAACCCTTACTGCTAATTATCAGTCATGCCTTTAAAATAATTGACAAAATGGAATGCATTGATGATAAATCACAAGATATAGCCTTCTTATTGACACGTTTTAAGCAGGCTGCTGTTAGTGCCTGCACTGCAAAACAGGTGAAAACTTGCATGAAATTAGCTGAATTATATTTGAAAATAAATCACAAATTTTCCGAAACCGAGTGGCCTTTGCTGGTAAGGCGTATCTATAAAGCCACAGTACAATGTTTCGGTGGAGATGTCGCACAAATACGTGAAATGCAATTATGTTACATTGGCTCTCTGCTGCATTTAAATTCGGAAATAGATTTCACCCAAATACGTGGACAAATCAGTATGTACTATAGTGATGCGTTCAAAGAGGAACAACAGCAGGCCCAAAAACAACAACGTCAAACCAAAGAAACCACGGGCACCCCCGTCGTCATACCACCACATGAAAATTGTATATTGCATTCGTTAATGCGTAGCACAAATCCATTGCGGCCACACTTGAAACCATGCCGCAAAAAACTTCTACACTGGTTGGAGGTCCAACACACTGTCAAATATTACAGGTCGAATCTAAATTTAATGCAATCATTAATAGCATCTAGCCAATCGTATTATGACTTTGTGATAACGGCACGAGCCACAAAACTCACCACCGCTCAGGTACCAAAATTCCATTCCATACATAAGTATTTACGTACCAAAACTGGACTGAGTCGTTTGGATCACTTAACATATGGTCATACGTGTACGAAATTGTTGCAAGAATATCACAATCAACGATCACAAACGACCCCGTTGGAGACAAAAGATTTCGGCGAAAATCAATTGGAACAATTGTTGCTGAATAAAGAAATGGAAAAGATGACCATTTGTAATGAATTGCAATATGTTAAGCTGGCCTATGATGGGTTTGTTGCTTTTCAAGAATTCTACGATAGGGTGAGTAGAAAAGATAAATAATAAACGTGCTAAAAAAATATTTCAAAATCAAAGCTTTGAAAAAATCAGAAATATGTGTTTGTCTTGTTGAAAAATTCATTTTTAATTCACCATCTTTCTTTTATTTCCAGTTCGATATTGAACAAATATCCAGTGAAGATGCCATTCTCGACTGGGAAGCCATTATCGATGATCTTACAACATTGGCTCAGTATTTACAATTTGGCAATTATCTGGAATATGCCTCAAATGTTTGGCTGTTACACTATAAAATCTCACAACTGGTGTTGAATAGTTGTTCGGCCCTAACAAGTCTTACATTCTTTTGTGAGCTATCGATGTTATATGAAAAAGGCGATGCCACCTCTTGCCTTGACTTGGAAAAAGAAATTCAATTACATTTACCGCATATAACCCAGGGCTTGGAACAACTAGCAAGCCTGACAAGACGTAGGCAAAATGCTATATTTCTGGCCACCTTGCAGATTGCTTACTACTATGCCAACAGCGGGAGATATAATTATGCCCAAATATTGTTGCAGTTTGTCGAAGAGAAACATGAGGAAATTAGCGAACGTCAAGGATGTTACGATATTGTTATGTTTACACTAGATATAATACGATATCGTCTATTGTGGAAGCATTATCGCCAATTGACGGCTGGTGATGCTACTCCTGCTGTGCCAAAGAAGGCTGAGAATTTGTTATTGAATCAATGCTTAATGGATGAAATGGAAAGGACATTGGATCGTTTGCGGGATTTTTCTTTTGGTTCTGGCGATGCTTTGTCCTATAATATGTTAATTTCAAATATGACCCAGGACATGGCCGAATGCTCAGCTAATCGTTTGTATGATAATTTCCTTAATTCAATTTTCATTGCGGCCTGTCGATGTGCCGTGCAGTATGGTTTTGCTTTGCGTTTGGCACAGATTATGTGTTCATGGATGTGGATTAATTTACAAATGGAATATGTTGATCAGGCTCAGGTGAGTTTTTCAGTGAGATTTTGAAAAATGTGTATTTTTTTTAATTTAGTTTCTTTTGATTTTCAGACTAAAATGAAAATAATTGAATATGTCATGGGTATTAGAGGTTTAAAAGAATTGGTGGGGAATTCTGTTAAAACCGCCACGGATGAGGTGAAATGTAATAACCCCGTGTTATCGGAGATTCACAATGACATACTGTCGTCACTAAATCATCATAATGACATAGAGGCTGCACGACGCCTGGCCCAGGTGCAATTATCGCCCATTAAAACGGTAAGCAAAATTAAAATAATTTTAATTTCAAATTAAAATAATCAGAATTCGTCTCCTCCTCCAATTTGCATAACAGGGAAAATTACATTTACGTCCTGAGGCTCAAATAACAAATTTAAAAAATTATTTTAAATTTAAAATCGATAGCAAAACACTGCCACAAAATGAACTTATGGATTGGACTTATTTTCTAATCGGCTGTTTGAATGCTCGTCTTTATTTTCTCGTTGAGGATTACGTGCAACTGCAGCCATTCTATGAAAAAGGTAGAGAGTGGTTGGAAATGCGTCAAAATGCCTTTAATCGAAACTTTTTTAAAAGTATACAACTTATGGCCATGCAACATTATGTTAACTATCTACGGGCCAATGATCAACATGACAAGGCATTGCAATGCCTTAACTATGGCCTGGAAATTTGTGATGCAATGAAATGGAAAGTTGATGTTGTCTATAGGGTGAATTTTAAATTACAATTATCGGCTGTACAGCAGGCATTAAATATCAAACAACCACTACCACACACAGAGAGCAGAATAATCTTAGGTAATGAAAAGGTCAAAATGATCAAAAAATTCAATATCTCACCCGAAGAAGTAACAAGAAGCAAGAAGAAAAATGTCTTAGAAAACGCAAATAAAAAACAACCTACCGCTAGCAGTGTGGCATCAATTTGTAAACGCAAACATCTTCCAACAAATAGTAGCAGCAATTCCAGTCCAGAAACAAAAACGAAGCCAAAACCGAAATTTAATATTTGTGAAGATGACATTGAAATAATAGTAGATTCGGATGATGATGACATGGTGGTGGTAAACAAAAAATTAGAGACAAATCCTTCCAAAGAATCGTCGTCATCATATACAACCCCGAAAGTTACCAAAACATATTCAAGGAAAACACCTTTAGTCAAATCCTCAAAACCGAAAATAGCCAAAAAAGATCCCACACCATCCTTAGCCACCACTAAACATGCCCCATCGTCCTCCATCTTAGCCTCATCCTCGTCATCTTCACTATCCTCAACATCATCATCAATGGAAAATTTACCAACCAAAGAGAATCAACCACAAAATACTTCAGATTTAATAACAAAATTAGAAAATCTAGATTTAGGCGATAAATCGAAAAGGGGTCGTACCCGCTTACGCAAATCACCCAAGAAACCCACCCCCATCATTATCTTAGAAGATTCGCCCAGTCTAAAGACGGTAGAAGTTACAAAACCGATTGTAACAAAATCGCGTAGTCGTACACGCAACAAAAACATATTGGATTCGGCAATCAAGTCAACAACAACAACAAGCGAAATAAATTTAAGAAGTACTCGAAGGCGACGTGGTGATGTAATCTAATTTTTTATACAATACACATTTTTCCTTAAACTATCTTCAGTTACAATAACCTTCTTAACATCATAATATTTTATTAACATACTTTTTGTTAATTTTGCTTAATTTTTTATATTTTTATTCAGCTGTAACGGATTTTCCTAATTTAATTTTTGTTGTCTTTCTACGTTGTAATTTTTTTTTAAATAATTTAGTTAATAAACGTTTCTACTAATACTGACCTAATTGAAGGGTATTTCATTTAGCATTCAATAAGCAGCAATTTCTGCAAGAGCTGGCGGGGTTCTCTATTTTTAAGCTAAGGCAAAGCAAATCAGTGATTTTTTAAGAGAACTGTCAAACATGGTGTTCATTATGATTTTTATACCCATCACCACACTGTGGTACAGGGTATTATGTCTTTGTGCATATGTTTGTAACAGGCAAAAATAATCGAGATAGACCCATGGTTCCTTTTGAGAATATGCATAGAATCACTTTCTAAGTCGATTTATGCATGTCCGTCCGTCCGTCTGTCTGTCTGTGCATGTTAAATTGTAAACAAAGTACAGGTCGCATTTATGATCCGAATTGGATGAAATTTGGCATAGGTCACTTATTCGGCCCAAGGACGAACCCTATTGAAATTGGGAAGAATCGGTTCAGATTTAGATATAGCTCCCATATATATATTTTACCGATTTAATGTAAACGGTCCCTATATATCTCTCGATTTGCACGAAATTTGGTACAGCCTAATCATTTAGGTCTAGAATGATATGTGCCAAGTTTCGTGAAAATCGGTCCAGATTTAGATATAGCTCCCATATATAGTTTCGTCCGATTTCATGTAAATGGTGCACCAAAGTCCCTATATATCTTTCGATTTGCACCAAATTTGGTATAACGTACTGAATTGAGCCTAGAATTATGTCTGCCAAGTTTCGTGAAAATCGGTCCAGATTAAGATATAGCTCCCATATATAGTTTCGTCCGATTTCATGTAAATGGTGCCCCAAAGTCCCCATATGTCTTTCGATTTGCACGAAATTTGACATATCGAACTGAATTAAGCCTAGAGTGATGTCTGCCAAGTTTCAAGAAAATCGGTCCAGATTTCTATATAGCTCCCATATATAGTTTCGTCCGATTTCATGTAAATGGTGCCCCAAAGTCCCCATATGTCTTTCGATTTGCACGAAATTTGACATATCGTACTGAATTAAGCCTAGAGTGATGTCTGCCAAGTTTCGAGAAAATCGGTCCAGATTTAGATATAGCTCCCATATATAGTTTCGTCCTATTTCACGTAAATGGTGCCCCAAAGTCCCCATATGTCTTTCGATTTGCACGAAATTTGACATATCGTACTGAATTAAGCCTAGAATGATGTCTGCCAAGTTTCGAGAAAATAGGTCCAGATTTCTATATAGCTCCCATATATAGTTTCGTCCGATTTAATGTAAATGTTGCCCCAAAGTCCCTATATATATCTTTCGATTTGCACGAAATTTAGCATAACGTACTGAATTGAGCCTAGAATGATGTCTGCCAAGTTTCGTGAAAATCGGTCCTGATTTAGATATAGCTCCCATGTATAGTTTCGTCCAATTTCATATAAATAGTGCACCAAAGTCCCTATATATCCTTCGATTTGCACGAAATTTGGCATAACGTACTGAATTGAGCCTAGAGTGATGTCTGCCAAGTTTCGAGAAAATCGGCACTGATTTCTATATAGCTCACATATATAGCTTCGTCCGATTTCATGTAAATGGTGCACCAAAGTCGCTATATATCCTTCGATTTGCACGAAATTTGGCATAACGTACTGAATTGAGCCTAGAGTGATATCTGCCTTGTTTCGTGAAAATGGGTTCAGATTTAGATATAGCTCCCTTTTAATTTAGATTGATTTTAAGTGATTGACGCACCAAGGAACCAATAGGAACAAAACGTTCTGAAATTAGTATAACCTAACCTGTGACAAGTTTGTTTGAAATCGCTTAATATTTGGATAGACCTTCCATATATATTTTTTTGCCCGATTTCAAGTAAATTGGGCATCAAATTCCTCATGTTAGTCAGATCGACATCAAATTTTGCACAACTTACAAACTTGAGCATAGAATTACGTAGTTGGGTTTTGTAGAAGTACAGACATAGCCCAACGGATGACCTATTTTTATTTGTTTGAAGTCGATTTACATACTTTATGGATAGATCTAGGTAGATTCACATGTAGATAAATATCACATATTTTATTTCATCCAATTTCATGTTAATAGTCCTGTTTAATATACCCATAGTGGTGAAGGTTATCATATAGTCGGCCCCGTCCGACTTTACTGCTTTCCTTACTGGTTATAACTGAATTCGACAGACAAATTGCAGTAGGAATTTTACCATTAGTTAAGATTGGTGGTGTATCGCTGCTAAATGAAAATGCTTTAGATTAACCTTTATTGCAGAATATGAACACGAACGAAGTCAGCGGTCATTGGATCGCTGATGGGGATGGGACAACGACCTAGTGGACAATTTATTAACTGATGTGAAAATATTGGAAACCAAGATGAGAATTTGTTCTGTGCACTTTCATATTCCGGTTGACAGGTAGTAATGTCGATGATGACGATTGTAGTTTTTAATTTTGTAGCGTGTAGACAAGGGAGGCCTTCAGGTGGATTTAATCTGATGAGGGTAGGTACCGAGTTACAATTATATACTACACTATATAGAATTTTGTTCTACTATCTGTATGCCCTCACATGCTGACGATTTTGCAAATCAACGATTATTTTCTTGGCAAGTGCGTCTATTTATTTTCTTACTGTTATATAGTAAACTTGATGAAATTCATTGGTCGTATTCAGAAGTTGATGTGCTTCTCTACTTGGCACCCCATCGCACCCTAATGGCTTGCACATCAGCGACTGCTTGTTATCCAGACAATTCCGTTCTTATTTATATTGTTAGAATAGTATAAGCAGCGAATGCCCGTCACATTGGGTTCAGAAATTGATTTGATTTTCTGCTTGGACAAATTCATATGCTGACGATTAGTCATTAGCCTTATTTATATTGTTAATATAAAGTAAGTTATTGGCTGGAAAATATTTCTGAGTGTCCAGCTATATCTACAAGCAACCAAGCACCAACAGAAATCATGATGATTGTAATACTACCATCAGCAGTAACCATCAACCTAGCTGTGGTGTTGCCTTTCAATGTAATTGCATGCGAAGAGCAAGTAATATGCAATGTGCCGCAGCAACAGGTTGGCAATATTGAAGCAATGTCTTGTGATGAGGCGACCCATGCCATTGAGCCGATGGTGGTTGATGATGAAGATGATCTAGCAGATTTTGAAATGTTTGAAATAATGGAGGTAGATAGTTAAGGCTGAAAATCTGTCCAATGGATGTTGACTAGTCTGATTCACTGCACTTCCATATTCCGGTTATCCATTAGTTGTGGCGATTTTGGGTTTTTATTTTTTGTTTGCTGACAGGTGACTTTGGGTGGATTTAATCTGATGAGGGTAAGCACCTTATGTGTATTCGAAAGTCACTTTGAAATACTTTGTCACGTCCACTGGCATTTTGATCTGAGATTGCATGCCTTTAATTCTTCTACCCTTTGACGACTGATTCACATTATTTCCTTGGCAAGAGCGTCTATTTAATATCTTACTATTATATAGTAAACTTGATGAAATTCGTTGGTCGTATTCAGAAGTTGATGTGCTTCTCTACTTGGCACCCCATCGCACCCTAACGGCTTGCACATTAGCGACTGCTTGTGGTCCAGACAATTCTGTTCTTATTTATATTGTTAGAATAGTATTAGCAGCGAATGCCCGTCTCATTAGGTTCACGAAATTGATTTGATTTTCTGCTTGTACAAATTCATATGCTGACGATTTGTCATTAGCCTTATTTATATTGTTAATATATAGTAAGTTATTGGCTGGAAATATTTCTGAGTGTCCAGCTATATCTACAAGCAACCAAGCACCAACAGAAATCATCATGATTGTAATACTACCATCAGCAGTAACCATCAACCTAGCTGTGGTGTTGCCTTGCAATGTAATTGCATGCGAAGAACAAGTAATATCCAATGTGCCGCAGCAACAGGTCGGCAATATTGAAGCAATGTCTTGTGATGAGGCGACCCATGCCATTGAGCCGATGGTGGTTGATGATGAAGATGATCTAGCAGATTTTGAAATGTTTGAAATCATGGAGGTAGATGGATGAGATTGAGAATTTCCCCGATGTATGTTGAAAAGACCGAATGAATACATTTTCTCTCTGCCCTTTTATATTCCGGTTGTCCATATTTAATTTTTATTTTTGTTTAGGCTAGAGGAAATACTTTGTCACGTCCACTGGCATTTTGATCTGAGATTGCATGCCTTCACTGCTTCTACCCTTTGACGACTGATTCAAATTATTTCCTTGGCAAGAGCGTCTATTTAATATCTTACTATTATATTGTAAACTTGATGAAATTCGTTGGTCGTATTCAGAAGTTTATGTGTTTCTCTACTTGGCACCGCATCGCACCCTTACGGCTTGCACATCAGCGACTGCTTGTTGTCCAGACAATTCTGTTCTTATTTATATTGTTAGAATAGTATTAGCAGCGAATGCCCGTCTAATTGGGTTCACGAAATTGATTTGATTTTCTGCTTGTACAAATTCATATGCTGACGATTTGTTATTTAGCCTTATTTATATTGTTAATATATAGTAAGTTATTGGCTGGAAATATTTCTGAGCGTCCAGCTATTTCTATAAGCAACCAAGCACTAGCAGAAATCATGATGATGATTTTAATACTACCAGCAGCAGTAACCATCAACCTAGCTATGGTTTTGCCCTGCAATGAACATTATCCACTGTGCCCCAGCAACAGGTCGGCAATATTGAAGCAATGTCTTGTGATGAGGCGACCCATGCCATTGAGCCTATGGTCGTTGATGATGAAGATGATCTAGCAGATTTTGAAATGTT